GCAAGCCATGCTGGCCCAGCCCCTGAGATGTACTGAGACAGTGATTGAGATTGGGCGTGGGGCCTTGGGCCTATAATCCCAGCATTTAGGAGGCTGAAAACAGGAGGATCACTAGAGTCCAATCTGTGTAGTGAGACCCTGTAGATGCTGTACTAAATTTAAAAAATTTCCCCATATCTAAATAGGTTCCGGGCTGGTGAGATGGCTCAGTGGTCTAAAGCACCTACTTAGAACAAGCTTAGCAAAGCACAGGGACCGCGGTTCAATCCCCCAGCACCACATGCCAGCCAGCCCCGTCCCCGGTGGGCTGAGCTGGCTGCACACACACACACATAAATAAATGAATAAAATTTTTAAAAAATAAATAGGTTCATATAGTAGAAAAAGCTTATGTATACATGGGACAAAAAGCATACAACATTTTCTAATGACTTCAGTCGTCAAAATGGTCTGACTGCAGTTGATTGATAGGATGGGGTTTTTTCCCCCCAGAACCTGGGATTGAACTCAGGCCCTTGTGCTTGCCAGGGAAGCACTTATTCCACTGAGCCATCTCCCCGGCCCCCTTGATAGGATGCTTGTTCTAGACACTTTCCACTCACACTGTCCTAGTCCCACAAGCATCTCTGGAGCTGATAAATAATAATTAAGCAGCTGTAGTTTGTGGTGCTGGAGATTGAACTCAGGGCCTTTACACTGAGCTACATTCTCAATCCTTTTTTTTTTTTTTTTTTTTAATTGGTTTAATTTGAGGTAGGGTCTGCCTGAATTGCCCAGGCTGATCTCAAACTTGTGTCTCTCCTGCCTCAGCCTCCCAGAGCGCTGTAGTTACAGTTGTGCACCACCAGCCTGAGGCCAAGGTGAGAGCTCTGGCCCCTCCACCCACCTACAGCTGTGGAACGGGCCCAGGTCTCTTAGGCCGGGAGAGGGGCACTCAACGCTTCCTGGAGTGACCAGGACCCAGATCGGCTCACCTTGTGCATCGCGCCACCTGGTGCGACCTCAGTATCTGACGAGAGAGCTGCAGCGCTCACGTTCCCGACTAGGTGGCGCTTCCGAACCGCGAGAAACAGCTGAAGTCCGGGGTTGGGGGTTCGCTGAGGCGGGGAGATGGCGAGTTATGCTAATCGCTGCAATGTGAGTCACGGTGTGGCTTAACTCCCCCTTAGGGACCTGAGAGTCTCGGACAGGACGACTCTTACTTGCCTCCCCCCAAAAACCGAAATCGGACGGAGGTTGAAGAGGGCAAGGGTCCTTCCTGCTCTTGCTGGGAGAACGCAATTCTCAGTGGGGTAAACGGAGGCAGTAACGAGCTAAGGTCTTGGGCAGATGGGAGTCCGCTTGGCTGGTCTGGGACAGGAGAGTAGACTCTCCGCTGCACACGCGTCCTGTCGCTCTCCTTTGACACGGCGAGTGGCAACAGAGCTGGTTCGGGTAACAGCAGATTTGAAGACCTGCTGTTAATATCTATAGCTCTGATACTTGCATAGGCCGAAAGGCTGAATTTGGGAGCTGGTCCTGCAGGGACTACTTAAATCCTCTTTGCACTCAAAAAAGCAAGGATCCACCCTTGCTGCCGCTCCACCAAGTCCTCAGCCCCACCAACTCCTAAGCTGATGCTCAAGCCGGCGACCCGCAGCAGAGCCCTGCTCTCGGGAGGGCGCTTCGCCACCGCCGCCGCCAGAGGGTGCAGTGTGCGCATCACAGGCTCCCTGTAGCCTCCTGAAACTTCCCACCCAAGCATGGAATCTTCCTCCTATGCGCTTGAACCCAGGAAGGCCTTCTGCCTGTAAGTGACTTAGAAATCTTCTCCAAACTCTCTGCTTTGTGCGTCACTAAAGTCAAAGAGAAAGACCTTATAATGGGCTACACCTGTTCCACTCAAGGAAGTAGCCACTACCCACATGGGACAATGTCAATTTCAATTTAATTTCAGGCTCATGTCCCTGAGCCTGTCTTGACCAGCTCCAGTCCACACCCTCTGCCTCCACTTTATGTCTACTTCATTTCCCATCACCCTCTTGGTGTCCCAAGTGGCTTCACTCCCTAACCCATCTCCAGATGCCACGCATAATCCTGCCTCAGGGCCTTTGCACTGGAGTTTTCCTTGTCTGAGATGCTAGCGTGGTCTCTTCCTTCCTGCAGCCTTTCTTCAACCCACACTGCCAGGGAGGGCTCTCCCCATCACCCTATTTCAAATTATAATTCTTTCCAGCCAAGCAAGCTGGTGCACACCTGAGATCTCAGCTATGTAGGAGGCTGTGGCAGGAGGCCTCAAGCTCAAGGCAATGTAGACAACTTTGTGAGACTCTGTCTCAGAATTAAAAATAAAAAGGGCTGAGGATGTAGCTTAGGGCTTTCTGGATTGACTCTCCAGGACTGCAAATAAATACATAGCAACTTTTTGCATATATATCCTTACTTTATTTTCAGAGATCTGCCCCCAGCACGTGACCTCTTAACATTGCATTGAATGCCTTTGTCAGAATGTCTAAGGGAGGGCCAGGGCGATGGCTCAGTAGAATAAGCGCTTGCCTGGCAAGCGCAAGGGCCTGAGTTCAATCCCCAGTTCTGCCCCCCCCCCAAGAAAAAGAATGTCTAAGGGAGGAAATTGGTGGCAGGTCTGTGGTGGTCAAAATGCAGAGAGGAAGGACAGATGGTGAATACCCATAATTCCAGCATTCTGGGAGGCCGAGGCAGGAGGATCTAAAGTTCAAGCCCAGTCTGGACAATTTAGGGACTTATTCACATCCTAGCTCAACAAAGATGTGGTCTGAGAGCTGTGACCTTAGGTTTTTGCTAATGAATGAACACTGGCTCATTCAATGACAGGCTCAGTGCCGCACCAAAACCAGTCACCTACCTCTAAGAATCACTGCCTCAACGCAATGGAGTCTAGAACACAGCCCTGCAGAGTGGGCTGGCTGGGGCGAGGGTGGGACATGAAGCCCCTCAGGGCCCTGAAGACTGCGGTGAACCGCTGAGAGGCATGGAGGTTTTCCAGCAGGGCGGAGCAGTGAGCTTTAAGTTCCTCCCTGTGCAGAGGACAAGACTGCAGCTGGGTTGCCGACAGCGCTGCGGGGGAAGCCGAGCTAGCGACGAGGTAGATCCAGGCTGGGCGGCTGAGTCGTTCCAGGTCCTGCGAGGCCACTCGAACCTGTGCCTTGCTCGGATCTGGGGCTCAGTAGATTGGGATGCAGATGTTTGGCACCAAACCTGGCCAGTTTTACACACTCACACACCAGATGCCAATCCCTGAGCAAGAAGAGAGACCTTCCCTACAGACCAGACTTGGCATATAGGGAAAGCAGAAGAGCCGCTAATGGGAAGGCACCTCTGGTCTGCACACCTGTTCTTTATTTCCCGGGCTTGCCATGGCTCTGTTCAGAAAAACAGCATCCTAGCTAAGATGGTGCACGCCTGTAATCCCAGCACTTGGGACACTGCAGCGGGAGGATCATTGTGAGTTTGAGTCCAGCCTGGGCTGCAAAGTGAGCTCAAGGCCAGCCTAAACTTCATATTGAGACAGGGAGGGAGGGGAAAGAGAGAGAGAGAGAGAGACAGAGAGAGACAGAGAGCACGAGCACTAAACCCTGTTTGGTGGCACTCACCTATAATCGCAGCACTCTGGGAGGCTGAGGCAGGAGGATCACAAATCAGAGCCCAGTCTGGGCAATTTAGCAAGAACCCATCTCAAACCCTAAAAGCAAAAAGGGCTGAGGATATAGCTCAGTGCAAAAACTCTGGGAAGTGGCAAGAACAATGAGGAAAGTTCTGAAGCAAGGGGGGACTTGTACAGGGGGATTAATGTTCGCATCTTTTGCTGTTTTTTTAAAAATGTAAGTGCACACTGTGTGATCAGCTCTTAGGTCTGAGTCTTGGGGGGGGGGCGTCTACCATCTGTGCAGGTGCTAGGCGTTCCAGTGCCTGCCTGTGTGTGTGACATGCACATGAGCGTGGCAGTGAGAGGTGAGGCTGGGTGTGGCCGAGGGCAGTGCACAGCTTCATGTCAGCGCTGTCTGGCCTGTTGTGTGGCGCGCACCCCTTCCCCTCCCAAGCACGTCACTTTCATCCAAGACCCCTTGAACTCCAGACTTTGCGGGAGGACGAACATGTAGAAACCCACCCGGGCTCCAGGGTGTCGCCTTCACCTTTAGAAACTCGCTTTCCAGGTTGCTGTGGCCTTGAGCCCACTGCCCTCGGCTCGGGCAACAGTAGAGCAGCTTCACCAGCCCCGCCCACCTTGCCCCGCCTCATCCTGCCACGCCCCTCCAGGTGGGGCTTCGCATTGGGCCTCTCGACCGTCAGGAACAGCGGAGTGGGCCCCCAAGATCAAAGGGGCTTGGGAAGGCCACCCGGGCTTCAGAAGGCAAGGGAAGGGGCTTGAAATGGGCTCTGAGGCAGAGGGCTTGCCTAGCATTCCTGAGGCCCTGGGTTTGCACCCCTGCCCTTCAAAAAAGGTGGGTGGCCCTAGGTATAATTCTTCAGGGTCTCCATCTGTACACACAGGACAACTTGAGTCTGGCTTCGCTGTCTTTTTGCTGCGGCCGTGGGGGGATGGCCCCGTTCCTCCTGGCCGCCATGAGGCCTTGCCCGCCCACTGCCCTCCATTGTAGCAACTGTGGTGGCGCAGGATTCCAGCGCCCCCTCTGAGAGTCTGTTCCTGCCATAACAATTTTCCACTCATCCAGGGGCCAATCCCCTTAGATGTTTGTGGGCTGAAGCAAGACAGCTTTGAGGTCCCCACAACCAGCTCAGGCAAAGCCAGCTCTCCAGCACCGAGAACTCCGGAGCCTGTGCTTTGAATGTGTGTTTCCCAGGTAACTTTCTGTAGCTCACTACCAAGATCAGGATGGAACGTGTGAATCGTTGGCCTTGTGCCCTCCAAACTCGCAGAGGCCAGGGGCACAGGGATGGTAAGCAAAGTGACATCGCAGACTGTACTACCCCAGTCTGAGAAATCAACTAGCAAACGTTTTTATTTACATGTTGGCTTGAGATCTTGAGTTCAAGGAAGCAGTGGATGTGAGGTACAAGACAGGGATGTGGAAAGAGAAACACCCCTCCCCACCCGCCACCTCCCTTTCCAGCTGAACACAGAGCATGGCATCTGACAAAGATAAAAGCACAGGCGACTGAACCCCACCATCAGTTCCTTTCTTGACATTGTTTAAGACACTTAAAGGAGTCGGTATTGAAAAAAGCAATCAATGAAGAGGAGATAAAGTAAGTCAGAGAGCGGGGACCTGGAGGAGCCGCCTGCCCCGCTGCATGCCTCCATTGTGCAGCCTGGGGGAGGCAGACACCCAGGGGCCTGAGCAGGGGCCCCCTTACAGCTGGTCTTCTTGCTCTCCCTGCCCCCCCTCTGCACCAGCCTCAGCCCTCAGCACCCTGAGGCTCCTGCCTTCTCCTGCCCTGGGAGCACTCTTGGGCAGGGCTGACAGCCGGGGGGTGTGCCAGACAGCTCTCCGGCACTTCTGAAACCATGAAAAGCGGCCAGGGGTCTGGAACCTCACTGTCTTGACCTGTTTCTGGCGCCTGGCTCCTGCAGCTGTCCCCAAGTCCCCTTGGGCTGCTGAAGATCCTGCTTCCTGGATGGCCTGGGCTCCAGCCCCTTCCCTCTGGTCAGCTCTGGCCCTTGCCCTCAGATTGTCTACAGCTCCTGCTCCCTGGGAAATGCAGGCTTCTGCTCTCCCATGAGCCTCTGCCCTCTGGTCATCTGCAGCCTCGGGGCCCTGCTCCACCGGGACAGCTGGCCCCTGAGCCGAGGATGCTACCTCCCCCTTCCTGCCTCGCCTGAAAGAGGCCCAGTTGATCTTTGGCCTCCATTGCCTGGGGGAGCACTCAGGCACACCCTCATCTCCTGCACTGGCCTGGTGAGCCCCTCCGCTGGTGGAAACCCTATCTCGCTCTGCTGCCTCCTCCTCCTCAGGGCCAGATCTCAGTGCCCAGCCCTTCACCCTCTGCTTCAGCTTCCCCCAGGACACCGGGCTGGCATACTCTGGCCATCTGTCTGCCTTGGACAGCTGGGACCCCAGTTTGTCCTCAAACACAGGCACGGGTGGATGGGCGCTATGGCTGGCAGAATGCAGGCCACACTGCTCCTCCCCAGGCTGGAGAAAGGCCTGGACCACCTCCTCATCCTCTTCCTTCTCCAGGTCGCTGCCTCCCAAGAATTTGCTGCCCAAGTAACTAACTGGCATTCTGCGCACCTTCTGGGCTTGGCCAGCGCCTTGGTCTCTGCAAGTCTCGAAATCACTGAAGTCGCTGTCACTAGCATTGCTGCTGTCGTAGGTGCCGACGACCAGGTGAGGCAGAGGGATGACCACCTGCTGGACTCGCCTCCTGGTTCGAGGCTCCTTGGGCTTTTTGCGGGGATGAGGTGCGTGCGGGGTGCTCCTCTCGATGATGCGCGCCACGTCCTCCAGGGTTCGGCCCTCTTCCTCCAGAAACTGAATCAGCCGCTCCCGAAATTCTGCTTCCTTGGTGGCAGGTTTGGAGAGAACCCTCCACACGCCCCCAGCCAGCCGGACCTCCCGGGGGATGAGCAGGTAGTCAACGTCTTCCCCGATCTGCAGCATCCCCACCATCCCCACTGTGGAGTCCTCCTCCTTTCGGAACACCTTGCCGATCTTCTTAAAGGTTCCGACGGGCTTCAAGGCCTCCACGAGGACGTCCAGATCCACATCTTTGCAGACATCAGGGATGCTCCAGAGGATCAGGCAGTCGGGGGATGGGAGGAAGCCCCAGGGGAACCAGCCCCCTACGTGGCTTTTCTCCAGAGTCTTTAAGATCTCCAGGGTGAAATCTGAGGTGGGGGACCGTGGTCCTGAGAAAGAAGGGAGGTCCCAGCAAAGCTGCTGGGAGAGCCGACCTGCCTGCCAAGATGAGGGGTCCGCCTCGCCTGCCAGCAGCCTACGGGAGGCCCAGTCCCGGTCGGGTCGTGCTCCCCGCAAGGATCTGGGCCCTCACTGCCCACCGTGCTTACGTTAGCCGGGGTGAGGTCGGGGCCGAGGCTCCAAACCCACCCGAAGGTGCCGACGTGGTGTCCTGGCTCCAAGATGGGGCGCCGGGGCTGCGGGAGCTTCTTCCTGTCCCCGTCCTGGGCCAGGAATGCGACTGGGCACTGAGAAGGGGACTGAGGAGGGGACTTCGCAGACAAAGACGGCTCCGCGTGGCGGCTCTGTAGGCTGAGGCTCCCAGAGGCCTTCGGCGCAGCCCCCAGGAGGGTCTCCGGCCTGGGATGACCTTGCCGGGGTGGGGCTCGGGCAGGAAGTTCCAGGCCCCTCCTGGCTGAGGCCCACCTCCCCTGCTCAGTTTACATGCAGACTGACAGGGGGGCTGTCCACTCCCTTCGGGGCGGCCTCCCTCCCCTCCCGCGGGGGTGTGGCCGCGCTCGGGGCCTCTCTGGGGCCCACGTAGGCGCCTTCCGGGGAAGGCTGTGCCCTAAGGTGCCGTCCAGGTTTCCGCATGCTCATGGAGCTGGCCTTTAAGAGCCGTGACACTGACCAGAGCCACGATAGATGTGCCAACACGTACCCACGCGCGTGGGGAGAGGTGGTGGAAGGCCCACCGCGCTGATCCTGGCACTGATGGCTGCACCATTCATGCTCGATAAACTTTCTATTTTTTTTTTCTTTCTTTCTCTAATACTTTCTTTCCTTCTTGCCTTTTCTTTCTTTTCTTTTCTTTTCCTTTTGCCTTTTTGAGACAGGGTCTTGCTATGCAGTCAGGCTGGCCTTGAGCTCATTTTGTAGCTCAGGCTAGTCTTGAAGTCGCAGCTATCATCCTGCCTCAGCCTCCCAAAAGCTGGGATTACAGGCGTGCGCCACCACGCCGAGCTTGTCTTTCTTCCTTCTTTCCTCCTTGCCTTCCTCTCTTTCCT